CTGCATGGAAACAAGCTGTCAGATGGATGGAGAGAAATGAATCGTGACAAGAATAATGGTTACTTTCCTAAATGAAAGCACTGTTCAAGTTTCTACTCATCAGGTTTTTAAGACGTAAAACAAGGCATTTTCTAACCACCCATAGAAGAGAGGCCAACATTTGCATCTCAACAGAACATGATGAAGTCAGTAAACTTTTAGCTTTGGGCTTGCTGAGAACTCCCGGGAGAAGATGGTCTGTCCAGCATAAAACACGGCCAGGTGGCGGCATGCAAGAAGGAAGCACCATGTGACCTGTCTGCAACTAGGCTCTGCATCACACGCACATGTACAGTGACCCATTTCCAAGCTTTGCCTCATCAAGACATCCGAGAGTCCCGCTGCCAAGGCCACCTATGAGGACCGCCAAGCGAGTGAGTACCTGGATGGAAAGCAATGCATAGGAGATGGGAGCAGTGTGGGGGAATAGGGCTTCTATCCTGGCAATCAAAAGCAATGTGAAATCGTAGGGAGACTTTGCTTTTAAAAGTACTTTTCTGCTTTGTTTTTTTACATGGGAGTCCCACAGCTTTGTGACATAAGGCAGGAAGAGCCCCTTGCCTGCTTACTTATTGACAAGAACATGACTGAAATCACTGACAGGACAGTTGAGAACAGACCCCAGCTCTGTGGACAGGAAGCACTGTCAACTTGCTCAACTCGATGAAATCCCTGAAAAATGAACATTCTTGCTGGTTTTGTAAAGCAAGTTGTTAAAGTTCATGGGATAATGCATACAAGGACTCCGGGGTGGAGAACTTAGTTAATAGTAGATACTGGGTGTAAAAGGGGGCTGGTGTTATTTAAGTGTTACATTTGGAGAGCAGACATTAGGGAGATACAGGCCACAGGAAAAAAACAGAGAAGTACAATAAGATAAGGAGGTTCAGAAACAGAGCTGAGATGGCTACAGGTCTTTAATTGTGCTTCAAAATGAAATCTCATAAGTAAATCATAGATAGGATTATACTTATTATAATAAACCTGATGTGAAGTATAGAGTTGTTCCTGCATGTGAACTATGAACTATGAACATGTGAAGTTGATAAACAGTGAAGTTTTAAGATATAGATGTCTACAGGATTGCTGATTTTCAAAATAGCTTGGGCAGAGTACATGCTGTTTCCAATAGTACAAGCAGTAATCCTATATTAGCAGTCAATTCAGGAAGGTAATACACATGTGCTGTGTTTGCATGTGACTACTGACATGAAAGATATACTCTTGGGTTTCTGAGCATAAATGACTGGGGACAGGGAATTGTTTTAAATCATTAGGGACTATGGAAGATATGTAACATTGATTCATACAATTACATTAAAAGCAATTAATGAAACATATACTACTTGAATTGAGCATCAAAGTCTCTTCAAAAATGGTGAAAAAACTCCCTATTTGCTCAGCTTTGGAGTTGGTCAGAGCTGTACTTTGCCCTGCATATCACAATAGTACATCTACCTGTTTTAATAAGCCAACACAGAACATCTGTTTTGGCCTTCAACCCACTGATCTTGTCATAGAGACAAATTTTTATTATGAGAAAATATTACTCATGTCACAATGCCTAAATATCATGGAAATAAATAATACGTACTTATATCTAGACTGAACCTTGACACACATAAGATATCATCTCTTGAATTATGCATGTTTTTAAAAATGTGTTGGCTGGTACCCAGCCATAGGAATGAGTAAAATATTTATCACAGAGGCAGTAGGAAAGAAAAACCAAGAGCCCTTTGTGACCCAGATCTGTCCTTCCTTTCAAAATACCCCATTATTTGCTTTCAGACATTGCAATAAAAATACTGTATTTCTGCTCACCTCTTAAGCATTTATAACATAATTATAAGAGGCAAATAATCTTTGGAGGCACAAAGACCCCATGTGAATGGTGTTGAAATAGAGACAACAGGTTGCTAAATTGTCAGGGTGTGATTAGTAACACTTGTATTATATGTTTCGTAAATTCTTTAAAATTCAGTGAAAAACATTGTATCAAATACATAAATTTTCCTGGGATTATAGGAAATTCAACTATATCATTGAAGGCCAACTATGTAACCAGATACTGGTTTAGAAATAGCCTTATTTTAAAAGTATTTATTACACTAATTTATGTATTTATTTATTTTTATTTATGTTTACATGTAAGGGTGTGGGTATGCACATATATATCATACATATGGAAAACATGGGACAACTTGAAAGAGTCTGTTCTCTGCTTCTACCATGTGGATACTAGGATCAAACTCAGGTCATCATATGTGATGGCAATCACATTTAAGTGGATCATCTTGAGAGTTATGATGACTTTATTTTTAACTATGTTCTTATTTCATATTTTTCTCCAAGTCTTCAAGGGGGAAAAGCACTCTACAATGCTAAGAGACTTAAAGGAAAATATATTTTAAGCATGCATTTGCACACCTACATTTTCACATATGCTTATTTCCTGAACAAGGACTGTGACTTTATGATGCCAACTATTTGCTCCAGTTGGATTTGATTACAGCAAGGTTCATCCATGATAACAGAAAATGACAGAAAGTTCTGTGGTTTGTTCTTACCAATAATTATTCTAAGGAAATGGGCAGAACAAACACAAATATATTATTATGCAGAAACTAGTTAACTCTTGGCATCTGCGTCATGGCTCTAACCCAACAGAGAGTAAATATCCTCATCACCTTGGTGGAAGGGTGAACAGTAGCAATTCATGTCTTGATGGTTCTATTGGAAACACTTAAAAATACAACACAGGCTCAATATTCTCTTTAATATGATTCTTCTCCATTTCATTAGACAATTGAGGAAAGCTAAGATATTTTCACAATCTTGAGAACATCCAATGTGCATATACCACTTGACTAAACATATGGAATATATATTTGGAGAAGAGCCAACTGGAGACCTGCTCTAGTAATCCAAACGCCTGAGCTGAGCGGAGCTAACTCACAGAGGTCAGCATGCACTTTGAAGTTCCCAGGCCTTCATTTTCCTTAATTAGGACAAGATTTAATAACTAAACCACTGTATAAACGTCTGCCTCAGACTAAAGGTTTGTTTCTAATTTGGGCGAGAATTCTTAACAGATTCCAAGGAATCAGCCCCATATCGGAAGGACTGCTGATAAGATTTGCCTTGCCCATTGCTTGAATGCAAATGCCTGCTTCTCATCTTCGTTTTGGTTCTGAGACCAAGCTTAGCATCTGCCTGTCAAGTCTCTAGTGTGATAACAAAGAGAATATTGCATTAGCATCCCATCTGAAATACTGACAACTCTAGGTCAGGAAAAAGGGGAATTTCCAAACATTCTAAAGGTATTCATATAACACATGTGCTACCAAAGAGGCATGCTTACGCAATTTATCAGCAGCATAATGCACTTTGATAAATGTGAAAACGAGTGCTGGAAAAGTGTTAGCATAGTCCCTAAGGTTAAGTCAAAGATCATGAGACCATCATAGGATTCCCACTCTTCCAGCACTATAAATTTCTTGCAAGGGGCATGTTTTAAAAAGAACATGTAGTCACTTTAAGTTGTTCTGGGACACCACAAAACAAATGAACCTCACTCTACTACTAAAGAGTAACCTTGTGCAACTAAGCTAATGAAAATGAAACAGACAGGTAAAGGAGTTCACTCCTTCCAGAAGAAACTGCTGTGATAGAAATGAAGTTAGCCAACTAAAGAAACACCGTGGCAATCTAATGACTTAGAAAACATCTACAGTAGTGGTTCACAGCTTCTCTAATGTTGTGATCCTTTAATACAGTTCCTCTTGTTGTGGTGACTCCAACCATAAAATCATTTTGTTACTACTTCATAACAGTAATTTTGTTTTCTAATGGTCTTAGAAGACCCCTGTGAAAGGGTCATGCAACCCCCTTCGGGGTTGCAACACACAGGTTCAGAACCACTGGTCTAAAAGCTCTACTGAAAGAGGTTTTGGAAGAGCACAAGTCCCCCTTAATGCCTCAACCCACTCATAGTACATGCTCTTCAAACAGCAAGGGGCTAGGCTGGACAAACTTGTGTTTAGTATTGCTCAGTACTGCTCAGGACACTTCAGTACTATCTCCTTTCATGACTCCCTCCCTGAGCAGAAGGTTAAGAAGAAGAGACAATCTTTGGAGTAGCCTGCAGCGGGGGAGGTGGGGGGGGGCAGAAGGAAGATGTAGAGGACAACGATGCCATCTTACCCACCAGGGCTCATTTTGTCATCCTTGTGTTTCGCACTGCAATAAAGCATTTACTAAGCTTAGCTGTCTACCTACTATCATTAAACAATAATGCCTGTAGGAAACGCATGTGTGTCACAGAGTACAGTGGCGAGACAGGGCTTATGTCCTAAGGATTTCCACGATGTGCTATCAGATATGATTTCACTGCAGTCACTGTTTCTTTGTGTTTGGTTCAGTGTTAAAGACCATGATTGTTTCAGCCCAAACCAGGGTGCTTGGAAGAAATTACCAGAAGTTTTGCTGAAACTGTTTCAAATGTGTTTTCAAATTAAGTAGGCATATAGAAAAATAAACACAACCTAGATGGAAACATGTTGCCAAGGAATACCACCTTGGCTTACATTGTCCTGCCTTTCTGAGTAACCTTTCTGACTTGTCAACCCACACACATACAAATCACAACACACATCACAAATGAAGTTTCATACACACAGGACTTATGTCCCTGTGACTTCAAAAACCTTCTCAATCAGAAATCATATTGCCAACCCATGATCTCAGTTTTACTTTAACTGTCCCTATGAAGATAAAAAAAAAGGCAAGAACTGTGATATTGTGATCCTGTCCTTCACCCCAGTTGTCTGCACAAGGATGGTAGTCTCTGCTTTCTTTGTAACACCAACATCCCCTTCTCATTCCCAGCAAATCACAGCAAAGAGAACCCTGACCTGGAAACCAGCGCTTTTAACGTTTAACTTTGCTTGGCGCCTTACTTTGTTCACGTGGATCTGCTGCTGGTACTGTTTCTGCTTCTCCAGGAACTGCTGGTGTTGCTGCTGGATGACCAGCTGAGCCAGTGTGCTCTGAGGCAAAGGCGCAGACTGGGTTCGATTCAGGGGTCGGTGACGGGGCAATTTGTGGGTACCTCTAATACCTGGTGAAATTCTTTCTTTTGTTGCCAAAGGAGACTGAGGGTGTAAGGGAACTCCACCTGAAAAACAAAATGCGTGTGAGAGTAGGTCTGCACATTTATAAGCAAACAAAGATGCACTGTCAGACAATTTTAAGAGAAGAAAGAAGCATCTGCCAGACAACCAAAGAAGGGCGGCTTGGGTGCTGCGGGACACAAGTGTAAGGCCTTGGCCAGGCTCGTGTCTGAGCAGCAGAAGCGTCTCCAGCCATATAGTTAGTTATGCCCTCAGGTTCTTTCCTAGCTCCACCCAGCCGAGCAGCGGCATAGTTCCTCCCACAGTGCCAAGCGTTTGTCACTTGTAAGGCAACCGGAATCATCATTACAGTTTTGAGCTGAAGACATGTGACACGGGATCTCTGATAATAATCCTAACAGGACCTGAGAGCGATGTCATCATTAATTACCCGCCACAAGAAGCTTTTGCTGTCGCATTTGTTCCTTCAAGAGCAGGTGCTGCAGGAGCGCCTGGTGGCTGCTGCTGGGCTTTCCCTCCATGGCCGCATGAGCATGGGTGGAGGATGCGGCAATGCCACCGCCATACTGGCCAGACAGAGACACGCCTTGCCTGAGCATCTGTGTTTCAGACTTCTGCTTTTCTTTGAATGAGTTAGAAGCCTGTGTCAAGAAAGAGGCGGCAAGTTAATCCTCCTCAGTCCTGGCCATACCAGGACTCTAGTCATCAGGTGACTTTCTTATGCCCAATGTACATGATGAGAAAAATACATAATGCTGCATCATTTACACTAAAAGAATTAACAAAATATGCATGGGAGACACTGGAAATAATTTAGCAATTTAGCAAACTATACTGAGCTTAAGGGAAATTTGTGTTAAATATTAAAAATGAGAGTAAACATAAACTTTCAGGTACACAGGGAAAACAAGTTTAAATGGTTTGTTGTATAACCTGGTGATGATGCCTGCATAAATAACAAGATATACTTCAAAATTTCTTAGCAAGGTGCTAAGTGTCCTCCCCAAAAAGTATGGGAAGAAAACGCATACATTACTTAGCTTAACTCATTGCATTATACAGATCAAAACATCATGTTGCAAACCATAAATACATGCAATTTTTATGCACTAGCTTAACAAAACATCAAATGAATGTCAGGATTCATAAGTGGGAAACTGACAATATTTTAAAATGCACTGCTTAAGTAAAAGGTATGTAGGAAAGTTAACACTTATTCAAAATAAAAGCTACATATGGATGGAGATAAGGCTGTCTATAATTCTACACTTTCAAGAAAAACACAAAATATACACTCTCACAATATGTCCTGTAATTTTGCACAAAGCTGTAAGTTTCAAATATTTAAGTTTAAAATAAAATTCTCTCACTCTGTGAAAGCTGGTACAAATAGACAAGAATTTTATTTAAATACATATTTTCTATTAATTCATAACAGACCCCTACATCTCTGAATATTAAAAATGACAACCCAGATACTTTTGTATAATAAAGTAAACTACAAGTGAAATAAGATATCAAATAAAAGTGTTATTAAGAACTTGAAAGGTATGGTAACACAGTAATGAATCAATAATAGTTACATCATCAAGAGCAATAATGAATTATCCTATTCAAAAAATTTAATGAATGGTGGTCATTTTGGTATTACAAAAGCAGAAGTCTAATACCTCAAAATTACAAGGCATGTTTCTTTTCAAAACTTACGTTTCATCTTTCAAAATTGCTGTGCACCAGGGAGGCAAAACAATTTTCAGTGATGGAGAAATTGAAGGACACAGAAGTAAATGGTTTGCCTGAGTCACAGAGTGGTTCAATCCAATGTTTAATATACAAGTGATGCCTGACACAGCCTCTTTCCTTAAAGTCTCCCACTATGCAGTTTGAGAAGGGAATATTGGGGACCCTTCTGCTGAAGAAATACTGTGATGGAGAATTTGGGAAGTCCTCATGCACACAAAAACAGAAGCAAAGAAAAATGAAACTAATCCAAATCGCACTATTTTTCTCACCCAATGGCACCAATGGTATTGCCATTGAAACATAAAACAGTCTGCTGTGAGGCCCTGTCCTTTGGGGAAAGGGTGGAGCATGTGTGAACTAGCAAGAGGTAGTGACTGAGAGTATAGGAAATGGAGGATTCAAAATGGAGGCATCATTAAAGTGTGGGGGTTGGTACTTACATATATATCGTTAATATAAATGACAAAGGAAAAATACTTTTAGTAAATGATCATTTAAAGATTCCCATGTCTTATTTATAGTTTCATTTCTACTTCCATTTTACATCGCATTAGAACCCATTGTTGACTCATCTTTGGAATTTCAAGAGTGTACCCGACTCAGGATTTTCATGCTTTGCTCTGTAATTCTTAGGTCATAGCCTATGTTTTCCTTTACTTCACAAATGGAATATGGTCATAGAGGATGATATTATATCCTACTAATACTCCAGGTGGAATAAAATTTTAAGTCTAATAAAAATGTCGATCCCAAAGCCACATGTGACTCTGACATACTGAACTAAGGAGAAGAGGACACCATGAGTGCTAACACTGGTGACAAGGAGAGGGACAGCTTTCACCTTTAGTATCTACATCTGATGTCTATGTATGTGCAGTTCAATCCACTAACATCTGCAACGAATTATCCCATGTAAAACTGATAAATATTTTGTAACAAGTAACATGCACGTTATTCTAGAAAATGTGTATAACATCATTATTTATATCCCCTGTTATACTAGGACAATTGTCCTCCTGAAGATCCTATTACAGCTGTCAATATTTTCAAACTAAGGAATTCTCTTGAAGCCTCCTGAGAATAAACAAATGTTGTTCTTGGGGTCTTTTCCAGATATGTGCCCTTCACCACGGAATCAGTGACTGTCCCAAATGAAGTCACTCACAGAATCAATTCTACAATTGTGTTGCTGTGATGGGTAGGTGGAATGCTCAGCTCTGGCCTGGGGGATGCTTGGATCTGCTACTCACTTCCCAGGTCTGTAATCTTGAGCAAATCCCTGCACGCAGCTTCCTGTCTGTAAATGTGGACTGTAATCTCCCCTTTACAGGAGGGATGTTGCAGTCACAAAACTGTGCATGTGGAGACTACTACATATTTTTACTTTAGAAATCATTACCCAAGTGCGTTGTTTGTAAATGATTGTGTGAACCAATCCTGTGATTTGAAACTAAACCGAGTACCTTTAAACAAAGCAGCAAATAGCAAATCATGTGGGGGATGCTGTTTCTAACAAGGTTCGCCAGTCTGAATATGCAGGAAATAAACATGAGTTCATGTGTAATGCGTGACATGACTAGGGCTGGTTTAGGCTGAGGCACCATGACTCACATTGAGTGCTGAGGGCATGGCTGGAAGTCCAAGTGTGATATTGGGCAGGGAGGGGGAGGTGTAGAGACTGAGCAGGTTCATTGAGTCTTCATGAAGTAGGATGCGTTGCTGTGGAACCAGGTGCTGTTGAAAGAAACGAGAAAAGGAGATTCTTAAAATATTGTGAATTCATCAATTGTCTTGGTAAATGTGCACATTTCATGAAGCTGTTTCCGTGTTACCATAATGAGGAAAGACTCAAGTACTTACTATTTGTTTCTATATATAAGCACTATAGTATAGAATTCAATGAATTTTTTAAATCAGAAAGTTATAAAATATGGTAAAAGAATTTCTATTTTCATAGTGAAAATTCCTTTGAAAATCTGGCTTTGTGGAATATAATTAAATGTTTGTCATGTATCAAGAAAAATACAAGAATCACAGTTGGTGACTGGCACACATTTGTAAACCTTCTCACACAACAAGCAGTAAAAAAAAAACCTCAAAAAATAGTCATGGCTTTGACCATCGTGTATGTCATTGTATTGAAAGCAAAGTTACAGGATATCAAGCAACACCAGAAGGCTTCTATATTAATCACATTTTAATTTAAGATTATCAATAAACTATGGGTGATGCTATTTCACATCATATACTTTCAGAACTAAATCTAAAATGTCACAGGTTCTCCACTTGACAATAATATGCATCTATACTGAAATACACTCAACAGTTTTGCATGTCAGTACTTTTTACAGCTAATGCTTTTTTAATCCAACACTAAGAGATGTGTGCTCCCACATGTGGTTTGATATGGTTGCCCAAAACACATTTTCTGTTTAACTCTTGCTCCCCTCCCAGAGCTTTGGTACAATAAGAGTTACAAAGGTCTTATTAGACGAGGGAACTCTGGCCTGATATGGTTCCCAAGGGCACAACATCCTGAAAAAGAATACTCCATGTAACAGTGTGACACAGTGACTGCTTTCTTCCCAAACAAAAAGCATATGGGACTCCAATAATAGACCACCTCCAAGAGGGATATTGCACACACGGGCTTTGACTAAAGTAAATATAATAACTTGTCAAGCATGTTTGGGGGAGCTGTAGATTTTCCACAGGACAAACCTGGGATATCAATTAGCAGGGGAAAATAGCATGTGCTAATACAATGTAACCTCAGAATGTCACTGAAGAGTGATGCCACCAAAACACAGGATGTTGTTCCAGAACGTTATCTCCATCACGACTGTTTGGAGATGAGTCTCAGCCCTAACATAACACAAGCAGAAGCTTAGCATGGGGTTCCCACTGCAGCCCGGATCTCTAACTCAGGCCGTGTTTCTTCTTAAAAGAACATGTCAGTTATTCATGCATGAAAATTGTGTTATGTTGAACTATTAATGCTCCATTTAGTTTATACGGTAAAACTAAAGATGCCTAAATCCCCAAAGCATGAAGATTATTGGGAAAGGTTTTTAAATTACAATGTATGAGAGAGATTATTATTTTATTTTAGAAGCTTTCAGTAATAGTCACATTTTTTCTCAAAGTAAGCTAGCATGTGACTATTTGGTTTATAAAATGAACTTTGAAATCAGTTTTAGCATATAATATATGCATGGACCACAAAATATACAAAGAAGTAAAAATGTTCTATTAACTTGCTGGCAGCTTACACTCTTTTAAAATAAAGGAATAGCCCACCCATCCACACTCTCAGAAAAGAAAAAAATGTGGAGAAATAGGAACTTTAACTAAGAATTACCATTCAAACTTGTGATGAGATAGAAGCTGTGAGAGGAAACCCACAGTCCTCAGACATGAGGTTATCTCTCCAACTGGGATGACTTCTGCATACCTTCTCACCCCATTACAAGAAAGAAGACTACACACTCAGGTGAACACTGATTTCTTTTCAGGTGTGGCGATGGCGGGCAGCTCATGCCAGCTTTGGCTGAGGGAAGGGATTTGTTGATAATTCTTCACTGGGATCGTGACTCTAATGGTGCTGTATTAACTTTCAGTATCTTTCAAGTACCAAGCCCTGCAGATGAACACCTTCCTCGCTCATACCCCCAAACTACCTCACAGCTGGAGAAAGGAATCTGAGGAAGCGAGTGAAGAGATGTGGCCAGCTCTGTGACTGCCACCCACCCCCAGTGGAGGCAAGAGAAACAAGCAGGATTGGTACCACGTTTGAGAAAGGCCCCAGGGTTATGAAGAGTGGCAAAGGAGAGATGTGAGGCTTCTTAAGAAGACAACCCCAGCAGCTTACAAGCAGGAGGGGCTGCAAACTGCAGCGGACATTGCCCAAGGTTCTTGAGAATTCAAGGACCAGTGTCTGCCCCCACGTCTGTGGATGCAGTTGGTCCTTCTCACAGACAGGAGCATCATGCAGGGCATGGTCCCTGCTTGTCCTCTTGGCTGTAAATAGGGCGCTATGCACAGAGTTTAGGGGAGTTTCAGTGTTTCAAATCATACCTCGTAGAACCAGACAACTGTTTCCTTCAAATCGTCTTTTTGAGCACAGCTTTCCCCAGCTAGGTTTTTGACAGGAACTGTCTATCAGTTCTGGGTCAATGTGTCTTAGTAAGATTTGGAAGTATATTCTGTACTGCTAAGTTCAGAAGCTGGTGCAGTGCCATCTACCTAGACAATGAGGGATCCTCACCTGTGCTCCCACAGGCTGGTGTGCTCCTCACCTCAGTACTGACCTGACCTGTGCTCCCACAGGCTGGGGTGCTCCTCCCCCTCAGCACTGACCCGTGCTCCCACTGGCTGGTGTGCTCCCCATCTCTGCACTGACCCGTGCTCCCACTGGCTGGTGTGCTCCCCATCTCTGCACTGACCCGTGCTCCCACTGGCTGGTGTGCTCCCCATCTCTGCACTGACCCGTGCTCCCACTGGCTGGTGTGCTCCTCCCCCTCATCACTGACCCGTGCTCCCACAGGCTGGTGTGCTCCTCCCCCTCAGCACTGACCCATGCTCCCACTGGCTGGTGTGCTCCCCATTTCTGCACTGACCCGTGCTCCCACAGGCTGGTGTGCTCCTGCCCTCAGCACTGACCTGACCCGTGCTCCCACAGGCTGAGGTGCTCCCCATCTCACCATGGTGATAACTGCGCATAGATTCACAGGAAAACACGGTACTTTTCTAGAAAACGATTTTGAAATATCTCGGTCCCATTCTTGTTGTTATATTATGGAGATGTCAACAGGTCACAACTTAGAGCATTGGCCAGATGCCCTTAGCGTAAGCCATTTCTACATCTGGAGGTTCACAGCGTAGTGAAATGAAGTGGAAGCATTAAATGTACAGCTATCATGTAACCTTTTAGAAACCACTGCTGATCAGCTCTGGAGTGCTGAGTGTGGGCAGGCAGTGAAGCCCTGCACCTCTGGTCCACAGGGCAGTCAGTCGCTAAGAGGAAGGAAAACCAGCATCAGTGATGAGAATCACTGTTGCTACATTAAAATTGGAACATCTGAACGGCACACAGGACGGTCATGTGACCCAGGCTCTCAGTGGTACTTGGTAATTCACTGGGGAGACATCATAGGATAAGCCGGGCGCTGCTGGGGCATGTTCACATTTTAGTAAGACCTTTCAGAACTGTGTTTAACTCCCTTCCCCACTATAATGTCAACTGGAAGGTCTTATAGATGAACAAAGTACACATACACTGAGAACTATATGCCCCTCAGAGGCGACTTTATTCACCCACTGACATTAGGAAACTTGGCTTAAAGAATTGGAATCAAGTCTCTCCCTCGATAGGACAGAGAGAAGTGAGAGAGGTTATTATTGATGCTCTGGATGTAGGGGGTGTAATGATGAGTACTTCTGTCCACAATTCAGAAGTGTAAACCATAGCCAGAACACATCGTGAACCCAGGAACTCCTCTCCAGGAAATGGGAGCTTCCAGACTATCTTGCTCGAAGCTGCCAGGATGGCTATGACCACGCCCCTCAGCACACCTTGTAGAGGAGTACGATTGGGCACAGGTGCCACGGATTTTACAGTGGTTCAAAGCATTCGCAAGCTATTACTGAATCCAAAAACACATGGTTAATGTAAGGAACGAAATGAGGTAAGCAACGCTGTGCCACCCGTGTTCTCTAAAATTCATGGGACACAAAATATAAAGTACACACTCTGTAAGAAAAAGCACAGGGAAAACCACAGAAGCATCACGGCCCTGGGGGCAAGCATGGCAGAAGGGAGAAGAGGAAAAAGAGGAAAGGAAGGAGGGGTGGGAGGAGGGGAGCAAAAACTGAACGCCTTTCTTACTGATACCTCCGACGTGAAAACAAACGTGCAATATCTGCTTACTTTTGATAAGCTCATAGACAAAGTGAATGCAGAATGCTCCGTTTACTGAATATTAAAAATGATCTGCAATAGGCCAGAGAATCTGAAAGAAATACAGACCTTAGGGAAGAGATCTGGACTAGTCAAATGAAAATGTTTATTATGAGCGTTGCACATTGGAGGTCTGTCACCGGCCGGCTAGGGATGCAGACAGCCACCTGCCATCCCTAGAAAGCAGGTCCTTCAGACAGAGAGGCTCTGAGGATCTCTTCAGGCAGCATCCATGTCTCTCAGGGTGGCCTATGGGAAGACACACTTGTGTCTGCTGACTTTGACTTAAAGTGGCAGATGACAAACAAGACAGCCACATTTGAAAGATCCCTTAATGGCTTAACGTTTGCCAATGGCTTTAGCAGTATTTTTCAAGATTGCACTTCTTCTCTATGCATTGTTCAGAAAATTGAGATACCAAGTTCTACGTGATTAAAAAAAAAGAATTATTGTCAGAAAGCAAAACTCTCTAAGCTTTAAGATTAAAAATTTGGGGGATGATAGTAACAGTTTATTAATTTTTTATACACTCTGTTCTCCCACTTCCCCAACTCCTCCCTGATCCTTCCCATCTCCCAACCCACCTAAGGTCACGTTCTCTCTCCCTCCCATGACATGGTATCAAAGAGTAAAAGCAAAACGAAAATCAAAACAAACAAACTGAAATAAGAAATACCAAACAAAAACCAACAAAAAGGCAGCAAAGGAAACATGGCATCTGCCGTATTGGCCAAGCATCCCCGGGCACGAGGCCTGCTTGCAGTGTGGTTGAAATAAGCAGTGGCACTCCATGGCAAAAACTGGAAGCTGGGATTTAAATTTTGCTTATGACTCTGTGAGCATGCTCACATGCCTTCTGAGGAGACCGGAAGAAGGTGCCACAGTGCTCAGAGCCAGGGCTACAGTGGTCGTGTGCCACTCTACACGGATTCTGGAAACAGAACTGGGGTCCTCTGGAAAAACAGCAAGGGTTGCTGAGCTGCTAAGAGCCCAGGAGTCTGCTTTCTAACTGCATTTATATGCTATTAAATACCTTGCTTTGCAATATTGGCTCATGTGATTATTGTGTCATAGGGGACAAGTTTCAGCGCTGAGGCACCCACAAATGAAACAGCAAAGCAAATGTCATGACAACTATTGCAAAACAAGAGGCAGATGAATCATGCGATCCCGGAGCAAGACAAACGTCATTTCTGGTGATCTCAGAGCATTTAACCTTATCATTAGAATTATTTTTAAAAAATCATTTGTTTTTGCTGGAAAAATCATTTTAAAAAGTAACAGCAGACACAGCCACTAATGTTAAACTAGAAATAAACCAGCAGCTTGGCTCCTGCTAAGACAGCTATCAAATAAATCTACTGAATATCTAGCGTCATGGGGCTGATACCCACGGAAGTATATTTGAACCACAGGTCCACAGTATTAACAATCCAAGTAACTAGATGGCTAAAGACATCTCGGATAGGAGCTGGAAACAGAAACGCTTGAGGTTTTAATCCCCAACCAAGTTTGCAGAGAAGTAAAGTGAGTAGTTCCAACAGTCTGCATTCTGGGACTGGGAATATGCAAAAAGTAGAAGAAATGGATCAGAAGTGGTCAGAGCAGATGGAGATGTATTCTCAAGCGAGAGCTGCTGGCCTGAAGACAAGCGACTTAATGAGATTTCCCTATGAAGAGTCCACACTGATGATAACAACAAAAATGAACTTCTTTCAAATTCCACAGTGTACAACCTGCCTCCAAAACAGTGAGTGATTGCTTTCAACAAAGCGGCAGGAACCATTATTGCCACCTTTTACTCCATCGGGAATCTGAGGATTAACAGAAGTGTGCCACCTTGACCAGTAGTTGGTTTCGTAGCAATGGCCAAGCCTAGCCTTCAAACAGTACTTAGACGTCTACCTTGGGGTACCCTGAGCTCTAATCTTAAGTACATTCTCACTCAACTCCTGCCTCTGCTTCATCTAAGTCAGTTATGACTTGCTGATTATATGATAGAAAGCAAAAACAGACTCAAGAAATCTAGGCTTTTCCAGTTTCCTAAGCAGCAAATGCAAACAGAATCCCATCCATCTATGTGTGGTCTGAAAGAATTAGGTGGCATTGTTTCTACTTATAGGCCATAGTACAGAAAGACATTCATGCCCGTGCATATTGTTCTAAGTTGGTGACTGGTGTTGGTCTAAGGCCTTCTACATGCTAGGCAAGGACTGTACCACTGAGAGATATACTCAACTGTCTTTTTCTTTTTCCCTACTGTGACAAGTTTTCCCAATGTTGCATAGGCTAGCCTCAGCTTACTTTGACCCTCAGGCAGACTGTGAATTTGAGATATTCCCTTAAGATGAAAGCCCACCTGTGTTATTTGATCAAAGAAGAATATTTTTAAGTGACAAATTACACAACTGAAAGTTTTAGCATCTGATAGTATGAGTAATTTTGATCTCAAACTTTCTGCTGCTATGAAATCAAGGTCTATTATTAATCTTAGAGGGTAGCTGTAAAAATCACACAGGGAATTCTAAGTGATAGCATCCTTCCCTGTCTATTCTATTGTTAGTCTTAGGGGAGTCACCGTAAAAATCACACAGAGAATTCTAAGTGATAGCAGACTCCTGCGTCTGGTTTCTCTACGTGGTAATGTACCACAGCTAGGATGTTAATTTGCTGATAGTCTGCCTAGCTTCTGCTGCCTCCTGACCTATCCAGAATGAATTACACTACAGAGTCCTGAGAATTAATTGCAGCAGAAAACACGTGTTAGCCATCAGGGCTGCATTTTTGTTTCTGGGCCACAGAAAGGCTGCCCATCAGTGCATGAAGGTCTGTCCACCTGGCCTTTTGGAGCATAGTTCACGCACACAATTAATTCATTATGAGGTAAGTCACTGCTTGCTTTTGAACTGTCCTTGCCAGCATTGGCAGTGAATGTCCTGCCATTGACCTGGAGAAATCCCTCTACCCTTTAAACTCCATTAAATCACATTTCCTTCTGTTTTGTTTTGTTTTTCTTTTTTGACTGGTGGGGGTGGGAGGAAAGATTGGCAGTGATGGAATACGTTCAACAGTTAGCTGAAACCTAGGATAGCCAAACCAATTTGTGAGGATAACAGATTGAAGAATACAAAATGGACTAAAATACGCAAAATGCCTTAATTTATAGACTCAATTCTCTCTGTGTCTGTGAAGGTATACAGCTGCACACGCATACATAAATAGATATTTAAAATTAAGGTTACATAATCTGGAAAATTTAGTAGGTTCCAAATAGCCAGAACAGAAAACTGTTTTCACTAACATTTCTTCCTGGTTTTTATTCTGCTTTAACAGAGCAATGAATGGATGCGTTGGTAATGAAAAGTTAAGGATGTCTTCTCCAGTAACTCTCAAACCACACTTTCTTTGTCCTCCCTCTGAACTGTAATCAAATATCACAGCTTGTCCCCACTCCTCTCCATCCCTTCATTGAACATGCTCAGACAAATTTCATAACTCTCTCTGCATCTAATAAAATGTGAGCACACTACTAATGAGCCAAACCATCAACACTGCATCTCGGGGAATTATCCATGTAGCTGAATGCAGTGCCATGGCTCTCATTTTCCCAGGGTACAAACAGCCCTAGGAGTGATCAGAGCCTACCCCTTAGGCGTTTAGAGGTCACTGAGAATAACATTATTCACATAACAGTAGGAATATAAAACTTCTTTACATGCTGTTGGTGATGAAATCGTTCTTTTCTTGGAAATAATTAAAGGGTTATAGAAAAACCACTCTATGAGGGTGTAACCTCAACACCAGAAAGTCCAATTATATGTGTGATCACAAGTGTTCATAGACTATTCTACCTCACATCATATTTTGGGGAGCATGAGGAAAAAGAGGTAGAGAGCGAGAAGACAAAAAGAAACAGGAAGCTGATGGAAGCCTTAGAGATTAGTACAAAGGTCAGAATGGAGGCTAGCCTTCAAGTAGCCAAGACACTCACAGTGGGACCTTCATCTTTTCTTCTCATGCTCTCTGGCAAACAGAGGAGAAGTTTTCGAAGAGAGTGTCCTAATCTGAGGAAGATTCACGGCTGCTTTGTCACACGTCTGGGGCTTGGCTCATACGGGCCACCTTAAGTCAAAGAGCCATGCCAGCCTGCTATTTCAGCTGTAGTACCACACAGACTCACTCATGGTTACCCTTTTCAGGCAGAGAATCTGCCGCTGCCGGGGTGAAGTGAGCTTGGCTACCAGGAACTCTTCGGATCCCAGCATGGAGCTGTGAGAGTTTGTGCAGAGCATCAGTCACTCCTCACCCAGCACTGGGCCCTCCCTTCTCTCTTGAGCTTTTTGAGTTTAGGAGACACCAAAGCACAATGTGAAGACTGTGGGGCCTTTAAAGTCAAAGTGAACCCTTGCTTTTATCAGCGACAACCTCCATTTCCACATTTTAGTTTTCACCTGGTTTTCTAAAGTCTTGTAGTTTGTGTGTGTGCATATGTGTTTGCGATTGCATGTGAGGTGTATGGAATTACAGAGCTGTGGAACTCTTGACTGGAGGCCATTTCTGTCATTGAAGGCAACTGTTTAAAATCGCTGGGTTCTTTCCCTGTAGGCAGAAGTGTTTGGGTACAGTGTGGATAACCCAATGGCAGGAACACTACAGGTACAAACCCAATGAATGACAGATTTGATTGCTGTCTCTTAGTCTCAAAGTACCAACACTCTGCAAAACACAAGGCAGGAGGCAAGTAACAGTTGCATGTGACTCTTTCTGCACAGTAGGAGGTGCCATGAGGCATAGAAGAAAAAAATTAGGCCTTTAGTCTATGGTCAGTCTGTTCAAAATAGTTCCATTAACATGGCTATCCGGGTTGCTACCTCAGCACACTCTAACAACGAAAACAAACTGACCCTTGTTGACAGTCACTTTCTTCTCAGTATGTATGTGTCACTGATAATATTTCAAACTAATCTTCCACACTAAGTAAGTTTCAGGAATGGAGTTCCAATTTTTATTCATCTTTATATGCACACCACTAGGCACACAGTAAACACTAAATAAATGGTTGCTCAATGAAGTTCTCATCCCATCAGCCATAATACAAACATCAGTTGTTTTCTACAATACTTCACGTCAAATGATTAAAACCTGCCTTGCTAGTAGTTAGTGTGAGAGTCTCACATGGATTTGCTTACTTACTTAGGGTGTGCTACTCTTAGATAAACCAGTACCCAGGCAGGATTACACATCTGTGTATCATAAGGCAGTACAGAGTAAGCACGGCTGAGAGAGTAGTAATGTTGCCTTGAGTTTCAGTATTTTCCCAACACGGATGGTCATCAAAATTTCTCTAAATGCAATCAAGTTTATTCAAATATATATATATAACTATAATCGATATGAAACATTAAAAAGACAGCTCTGTTTATAGATCAACAGTGTCTGAAAGCAGAGGCCTGGCCTCAAGTGACGCTCTGCATCAGAGAACCAGTTTCCAGAAGTAGATGAAGAGGGCCTTACCTCAGGATGAGGCGTGGGAGGTAAAGCTGAAGCCTCGTTTTCGGGGACATTCCCAGTGGGCCCATTGTTTGGCGAACTGGGCCCGGACCCTGGAGAGCTGCTACTGACTGAAGATTCTGAAAAACATGGTGGAACACACAAACCTTCATGAGCAACACAAGAGATGGTGACACGTAGCGCCAGGTGTAGTGCCAGGCATGACGACAAACAGTACACAAAAGAATGTTTCTAAAGTTTTCGTCAAGAATGCCAAACGGCATTCACAGTTTCTATTAAAGAAACAGAGCTATTAAAGGTCACAGAAGCCATTGGTGAAAAACAGAAGTAAGAAAGTCATAGTCTTTTACTTGCTCTCAGTGATAAAGATAGCAAATTTCCATAATGGGCTGTCAACACATCAGAGAAACCCAGGGCAAGTGGTGTTGGTGCTGAACTATACATTGATCTTTATTTAATGCACTAAGAGTATATCTTACTATAGTACATGCCAGTCAAATTGTTTGAAGAAAAAGAAATCAAAACTAAAAACCTCCACATTGCACTGCTGACCTTGCAAAATGTCAGTTGACTTTAATTTTACCCCACTGAATTTCTGGAAGATGAAAAGTTGCCAAATTTAGTAGTATAAATATTTAAATACCAATTAACAAGAAATTCCTTGAGGCAAAATTTGAAAACAATATAGACTATTTGATAATCTTCAGATTAAAAACTTATATGTACTCAACTGGTAAAGAAACTAATGTATTTTAAAAACATCTCATTAAAAACTGAAAATTCTAATTCCTAGAAACATAACTGCAGAAGTCATTGCATTGAACACTGGGAAATCATGCATAGGTTAGTTAGTCCTTACCTCCCTCTGCGGTCACTTTGAGTATTTTCTGAGTGCCTCATCTACATCGTGTTGCCTGCTGTGTTCAGTGGTGCTGCCTGGCACTCCTCAGGGACCGAGGGACGGACCTCATTCCCAACTACGTATTTCCCTTCTGTGCCGTGACTGTGCCCCACCACCTGAATTCTTCCGAAGCTTTCCAGAGCCATGGCATTTCACAACTCTCCCCTTTCCAGGGGCAGCACACTTACTCCTACCCACAGTCTTACCCTATCTTTTCACCGCTTCCAGATCTTATCCCATCAATTCCTAAGAACCCCACACCCTTCCAGTCTGAGATTGTCCCTCTCATCGGCTTTGTCCTCCTCATCAGACAGAATGGTGATAGTTCTTGAGCAGAGCTGTGCCTCAAGGCCAACTCAGTTTCTCCCACCATGGTTTACCCACTGTCAACTGCAACCTTTCTTTCAAATGCCACTAAGGTTTGACATGTGCGACAAAGCAACCCCAGACTCACAGCCTTCCTCTGTGCTCATTATTTCATCTGTTTCTCCCATCAGTCTCTGCATATGCATGTGCACCTACCGCTGTATTTCCTGTCTCTCTGCTTTGGTGTTATGCAATCTTTAGGCACACTGCTTTTACCTACATAGTATTTCTTGGGTAACTCTCGAAACTTTTAGTCTGACTTCCTTTGGAACACTGGATTTTTAAACTTATTTGTGTACGTGTGTGTGTCACACAGAGAGAGAGAGAGAGAGAGACAGAGAGAGACAGAGAGAGACAGAGACAGAGAGAGACAGAGAGAGAGAGAGAGAGAGACAGAGAGAGAGTGAGAGAGAGAGAGACAGAGAGAGAGAGAGAGAGAGAGACAGAGAGAGAGAGAGAGAGAGAGAGAGAGAGAGAGAGAGAGAGAGAGAGAGAGAGAGAGAGAGAGAGAGAGTGTCCTTGGAGAGACCAGGGCAAAGTGTCAGATACCCCCCTCCCCAAGCTGGTGTTACAGGCATTTGTGAGCTGCTCCAAATGGGTGTTAGAAACCAAACTCGGGTGTTCTAGAAGAGCAAGTCCTCTTAACCCCTGACACATCTCTCTAGGACAGAATTTTGGGTGTTTAATCCCCAAATAGATGTGTATAAATTACACCATCTTTTAATATGAAGTGTTTCCTGCTGTGATTGTATTTTACCCCATCCTTAGAGTTATCCTGAGATACTCGGCCTTTCGGTTCCTTGTTCATTGTATCTCACTGATGCCTTTACTACTGCCATTCCAGTTTAACTTTTGCTATCTTCTCTCAAAATATGGCAGAAACTCTTACTGTTCAGAGTCACTAGAGTAATCTCTGAAGACTCCCTTTGAAATTCTTCCCAGAAGAATCCCATAGAATGATTTTTTTCTGTTTACTCCCACTCTTGCCCTTTCTGCTCCCAGTAGAGCTACATCACTCTCCACACAACAGGACGCCTTCCCACACTGAGCTGTTCACAGTCCTCTTCTGCTTACCTCACTCATTCACTCATTCACTCACTCACTCACTCCTCACTCACTCACTCATTCACTCACTCACTCACTCACTCCTCACTCACTCACTCCTCACTTACTTACTCACTCACTCACTCACTCCTCACTCACTCACTCACTCACTCATTCACTCACTCACTCACTCACTCACTCCTCACTCACTCACTCACTCACCCCACCTGGAAGTCTAGTCATCCTCCGTCTGTCCCCCCATTGATCCGTAGCCCGCAGATTCCAACCAGTATTTTCCTGACCTCCATCAAAATAACTTTAAACATTCAACTCTGTTCTGCACATTGCTTCACTCTGAAGTACAGGGAAATTGGAGGAACGGGGAGTTGGTGATTGAATTCTGGTCCTGACACTGGCTTTCTGAACAAATTATCATTACTACAAAATGCTCTCTCCCATATGCTCACAGCTTTTCTGTCCATATATTTTTGATTAATCTGGTTTTGTCAACATTGCCTTTTATCGTGTATCTTCCATCTCTCTTTTGTATATTTTTAGTTTGAAACAGGGCCACACTGCCCAGCCCAGGCTGGCCCAAACACCTGAGCCCCCTCTCTCTGCTTGCATTATAGACATTCACTACCACAGCCACATTGCTTTTTTAAGTGCTTTTATTTTTTAAATGCACTTAAACATTTTAAAGGTGCTTCTTTTCCTGACTTACATTTCCAGGATGGGTGTGCTTTCTCACTAATATTTCATTTCTATATTTTTAAAACACTATATTCTTAAACATTCTTCTGTCTTTACCATCTTAAAATATCTAATTTATTTTCTATGATATTAAAATGCTAGTGTTTTGTTTTATAGAAACTCCGTGCCTGCAGCTTATCAACTACTGTAGCAGGATCCCACACAACAAACTGGTTAGTAACTGAGAGCAAGCAGTCAGTGCTTTTTAGATAAACTGGGAAAACCTAGGAGAAGGAATACTGTGGAACTGTACTTAAAGAATAACAAATGTCTGCTGAAACAGGAGTAATGAAGATGGGAGAGGGAAGACCACAGCGGGCCCAGGACTGAGTCAATTCATAATTTTTTAAAAAAGACAACTTCTGGAGGAAGAGAGACAGAAAATACTTGAATTTGAAAATATGTGAAATGGCTACTTGCTCTGACACATTAACTATGAAGAGACGAAAGAGAAAAAAAGAGAAGATACTTCTTTACTTGTAAAGGATAAGGGAAAAAAAGGTAGAGAAGAGAGTTGCAGAAATGACAATATAACTGCTATGGCACTGTGGGAGCCTCCAACTGGGCAGTAAATACTTTTACTGTCAAGATGCAGAGCTCATCCAAATTAGACGGAAATCCTCTGAGAGATGGGAAGGGCATGCTGAGGTTCAGATCCCCCCCCATACATTTACACTCGGTGGAAAACACTAGCTTAACATAAAAAGTAACAAACAAAACAGGTACCCGAGTTACCTGCTCACAGGCTGGAAGTGTACAAAAGTGGCAACCACACAGGGCAGGCACCTTTTACCCTATTTTCTGAGATGAAAAAGGCCAACTTTCTATCCCATAGAATTAAGAAAAAAAAATCTGTAATTTCAAACTTAGAATAAACAATCATTTATTTTAATACCTATACTTCTTCAAATTTTCTCACCTCCCAAGGAAAAATGTTTTCAAAATATAATCACTAATGCTGTTTCTACATAACAACACCAATATTTTGTGAGTAGAGCAGAGACTGGGGTGCTTTTAACAAACTGAAATAGTCTGTCAGTTTTCAGCTGTACTGGTGTTTGTTCCTAAGTTATTTCTCCTCTTTCAGATTTGTGTCTTTCCTCCCTAAACTTGCTCTGGCTAAAGGAGAGGCAGGAAGCCCATCATTTTAGAAACATGAGGAGGGTGCAACACCAACCTACTACACAGTTCCTAAGGGAGAGAGTAGAGCTTCCTCTTTCCCCTGTGCACTGAGGAAATGTCCAGGTTCAGCGCATTGCTCTGGGTACCCAGTAAATGGGAGCCGGTCTTATTCTGTGTAGCCCTCCAAGTTCCTTTACCCTTAGGAAGCAGTAGCCAGCATTATTGTGGCCAACCCTTTAAGGTCTTGTATCCTTAGACTTCTCTAATTTCGAAACAGGTACAATTGGGACGAGGAGGTTTGTAAGACATCAGGTTGAATTTCCTAACCTGTTCACCCCACTTCTAACCAGGCAGTTAAAAAAATATGAATGCTTCCATTTGAGACTAGTGAAAATGACAGTCTTTTCCCCTTCATAAAAATCAGTATTTCCCCTCCTGCCATGAGTCCCAGGTCACTAGTAAACACATAGAGTCATTTATGAGTTCTGTAAGTTTGTTGAAAAGTCAAGGTTTTGGTGTTTCACGTAGTTTCATTTTCCCAGATGTATTTCCTACATTCATGTCTGAGTAGGGGGGAGGGGCATGTTCTTCTTGAAACTCCCTTTGTTCATTTCTGATCAGATTTCATTAAAAGTTATAGCCTACTGGTTGGCATTTCCCAAATGGACTGGCCCCTTTCTAAAAAGAATAAGGCAAGCATTGGTGTTGCATAGCTGTGCCTTGATTGACACGTAGGTGGTCCCCCCTTTCATTTCCTGCATTATGCAGCTGGCAAATACATAACAAGGGTTACTGAACTATTTGTGAGCTTTCAAAGAAATTTGTCTTTCATGAAATAGTTATCAAAATCAGTTTTACTAATGAGCAGGCATATTGATTCTAAGTTTAAAATAAAATAGCTACGACCGGCAAGTGTTAGTGTGTGACTACCCAGTCCTCAATTACCTGTCACCTCAAACACTCGCTTCTTGAATGAAGTGACAACATTTCCATCCTTCCGCCTGAGTAAGGGGCTGCTTCTCCTCTCTGCCACTTTCTGTTTTAACCTGGACCGCACCTTCAAGTTGGGCTCTGAGGCTGGGAATTGAGACAAAGAAAATAGATAAAAATTAAAAAATAAAGAGCCAATTGCTCCTATGTCTAAACTTGAAAATAAAAAATAAATACAAAAGCTTATCTTCTCCTGGTCCATTCTTATCAAATTGAAAACCCAACCATGTAAATAAGGTGTTGACTCTAAATTAATCAAACAGACAAATGTAGTAATCATTTTAGAAAACAAGTTTTTGAACTTTTCAACACGAATGTGAAATGGAAGCAAAACCAACTTTTCTATTTAACTTTTATCTAGCACTACTGTAATTGTTAATGGGAGGTTTAATCTGAGTAAGATTTATTATACTTCATTGGCTGGCCTCCTAATTCTCTCAAGACTGAAACTGAATAACTACTAAAACAGAGATTTAATGTGAGGTTGGAGACTCTGACCTGACCCCTGGTAATAAGAAGACACCTCCACAGAGCATAATTTATGTCTAATTCTGACTCCTGAAATATTTCTTTGTCAGTATTTTCTAACCCCAACTCTGGGAAAACATTCTTAACACAATAACACAACGTGAACTAGTGTCACTGTGAGTAATCCTGTCTACGTCCCCAATTCCCAGTCAGGAAAAAGGAAGCCGACCAAGGTGGAATTGAAAGTTTGGAGTTAGAATGTATGTTTGGAAACACAAACACACATAACCCATATTTATATTACTACTTATTTTACTACATTATTCCAAATAGTGAATCTATATGGCTACCGTTTACTGTATTTTTAAATAATTATTTTAGAAGAATGGAAGCATTGGGTTCCATGGTGTAGTTGAAGTCCATTCTCTATGATGTTGCTGTTGTAAGCATAAAGCTGTTTTTCATGCAAGCTAACACTGTACGTTAGTTTCTTTGTTGCAGTACTATCCTGTTTTATCAATACTAACCTGCTTATCACAAAACACACATATGGTATATACTCTTTATAGTGCTATAGTGTTAATGAGGAAGTTAAACATTACAGAGGTAATAGGATGAAGCAGTCCTGTGTCTAAGCACCTTGCTCTCTCATAACCTTGATAGATACTCCTCTTTTTCTTACAGTAGAATGTTATAAAAATTAGAAGAAAGCTTTTGTAAAGTGCCTGTGATCGCCCACACAATGTTCCTGAGGTTTCTGATCAATGAAAATCTTTGAAAAATAGTAGCAGTTGTGCTCAGAGCACCCCCTTCACACCACTGTAAGACATGAGCTGTCCACACTTCTCTGTTCTCTCGTTATCTTCCTCACAACTTTGAACTTAAACCAAAAACTGCTTTATTTCTTAGATATAAAAATAAGCAAGCTCTTTCATTTTCTGTTGTGTATTTGACAATGTCAGCTTGAAAACGTTGACATTAGGGAAATGAGGGACTTTGAGTCCCTGATATTTACTCTACTGGCACACCTTCTGCTTTGTCTATGACCTACTCAGAAAAATACTGAGTTCTGTTTTATCAGGCTGAGAGATCTGTTCACCACTTTTGCTGAAACCCAAGGGACTGAACTCTGGCTGTCAAGAGGAGACAAGAGCACTGGGCTGTCATTCCATGAAGCAGATGAAGGGGGACAGAGGATGTTAGCAGTGGTCCCTCGCTTAGTGCATCCTGCCTTCCCTTCTTCCCTGGCTGTCACTGATCTGTGGGTTTAGATCTAAAGGATCGATTGTCCCTTCTCCTTCAGCCCTGTGAGTTGTTTCTTGCTCTTGCCATCATTTTCCGGATGTCTCCACAACACTTTAACCCGGATCCCTTCTCTGCAAACAACATTGTTAAGCAGCAATATTGCTGCTGATGAGTTCCATAAGTCCTCCCTCCAGTTTCTCATTCATCTATCATTTTCATGGCATCAGTAGTTCAACTCTGATTAATAGACTCCTTATAAATTGCAGTTACTAGTGAATAAATGGAAGAGTGTCTCATATAAGATGTTGGTTCCAAACCTGAGAAGATATGCCCCCAAAGGCCTGTAGCAATGTTTGAGACATTGCTGGTCATCAGTATGGGAAGATGACAACAGCATTAGCATGTAGAAGTCATGGATACTTCCATCCCCCCCCCCCGACAATGCGTAGGTCCCTTAATAACGAGAAATCATGTAGGCCCAAATGCCTGTGGTCTAAGGAACCCCAAGGGGGACAATCAGCAAGTGGTAGCTGCCAGGAACCGGACCAGAATGGGATGAGCAAAGGAGACAGGAAGGACAGTGGGAGTTGACCACAGAGGACGCGGGAAGTTGGTAAAGAAAGCAAAGGTGAGCAAAAGTGGAGGAGTGCTACAGGAAGGCTTGAAGACTACTTTTCTTAACTGCTTTAGTGCTACCAGTATTTCTAAGTTTTCTATTGACAGGTCATAAACTACGTGTACTTATAGGGTAGAGTATGATGATTTTTGAACCTTGATATGTTGAATATTGATCAGTTCAGAAAATTCAGTTATCCCTCATCTCAAGCACAGGGTTTCTCTGGGATGACAACATTCAAAAACCGCTCTGCCACTATTTTGAATTATAGAGCACTATTAATTATAATCACTCTTTATGTAGTGGAAGACCCTGTCCCTCCCACCATGCTGTGACTTTGTAGCCATTGTCCCATCCTCTTCTGTCCTCCACAGCCCCTGGTAACAAGGATTCCACTGAATGTTCTACTAGGCCATATGCTTCAGATTTCACACAGGAGTAATTGTGCAAATACCACTGATATTTATAAAGAAAGAAAGCTTAGTCAACTGCTTTTGGTTGAAGGAGGTGTATAGAAGGACATAAAATTATCAAGTTTCAAAAGGAGATTTGACACTATATATATTTGTAAATCTAGAAAATATCTGATTTTTAAAAAACTAGAAATCATGGATACACTAGAAACTGCAACATAAACTTATTTTTAAAATGAGGAAAGTTCTGTCCAAAGGTCCTAGAGAGAGCTTCTGTCTGGATTTCAGTAATTTTAAGTCACCAGAGAGAGTATCGCAGGGGTGATCCTGGAAATGCAATGGCAGGCAGCTCTCAGGCAAGTCTTTGCAGAACTCTACATAAGAGGATTAATAACCAGCTATTTTCCCTTCAGAGCTACTTTTGCTTTCAATGTGCTGAGCTCCCTAAAGCCTGAAGGTTTCCATGGCACTCACTGGCTAATCTGCAGAGGTCGGGGGAGATAGCTAATTCTGGAGAAGATCTTCTATAGGGATGCACTTCCTGGCTGATTGCTCTTACTGCCTCTTCACCCTTACTCCATATCTCTTCACCTTCACTCCATATCTATGCCCTACATCTCAATGAAAACTCAGAGTAAGATGGCAACACTGAAGACAGTAGAGATGCACTTTGCTCAGCCACGCTAGAGTTGTTGCAACATTTGATTGTCCACTTGGTTATTACAGAAAAAATTCTTAACTGTAACTGATGATTGTGGCTACAACGGTGTATTGATTGTATTTCCACCTCTAGTAATGGGCTTTCTGTGCCGGATTGTAATATCCTTTAGCCTGGCCAAGTGCACAAATCTTTTCCAAAGAAACATGGTTTACTTGCACAAAACCGATCAGGGTTGAGAGATTTTTAAATGCCCTTGAAGTAGTTTTTGTGGGTGTGAAACAAATGGAAAGAATTTGAATTGTTCCCTCTTTTTATAGTATTGAAATTAACTCTACTTAACTTGTCAAGTCATGTTCATGCCCTGGTTTTATATACAGGTATCTATCAATAAACTTTGTGGTAATTGAAAAAAAAAGTAAGAAAAATCAGAAGAAGGCCTAACCTGCTAAGGTGAAAACTGTGCATCAAAAATTATATGCAAGGTCATGGGTTGCAAAGAAAAGAGCATGTGAAGAATGGGTCCTAGGACCTTATTATCACACTTCAAAGTGACAAGGACAAGAGTCAGCACACAATCTGAATAATCTTCCATGAATGAAAGGCATTTTCCATCTTTGTTCTCCTATGCCTCTCAGTGGTGCAAAATACACTTATTGAGGCCATATAGAAGAATCAAAATCAGGAAATCTTAGTGAAGTTCACCTCTACAAGCATAGACTAACAAATTAGAAATCTTAAGCATAGCTATCAAGATCAGGCTTGGCAACACCAGGGAACTGGTGTGTGTCACAGGGTATTGGAAGACCTAGGGGAAAATCATGATTTGCAAGAGTACATCAGCATACAACCCCACAGGAAGTCTTCTCTGGATGTGTGCAGGCCTCTGAAAAATGTAGACCAGACTCAAACTCCAGTGCTAACACTTTCATGTGCTAACTGTAATTTCGGGATGTAGATTAACTCAGCAAATGATTTACTCATCTATGAACGAGCACTAACGATGTTGTTCATCACATGTGTAAGCAAAAGACTGAGAAGTGGTTCTCTCTGAATTCCTCATGTGGCCCTTATAAGAGTGACGAAAAAAATCCACAACCGATAAAATGAAAATATAAGAAGATGAATGCATGCTTACAACTTGAAAACTCCTGAGATTAATGCAATATTGTCTATTTTAATTTGGTAAGGATGTAAAACAAATAAATAAGTTAAATAAAAGCAATAATCCATGTCTAGACTTTCATCATTACTAAAATACTTCTATTACTGCCTGATCACATATTTTCTTTGCCTTTTTGCAAAGTACAAATTCTACTTATCTTTTTCTGAAATATATCACTACTCATTGAGATTCATTACCTACTGTGTGCATCTTATCTTGGTTGACTTTTAAGAAATTAAGATATTATTTTATTTTGTATATATATATATGTGTTTTGCCAACATTAATCTGTGCACCACTATTAATGACTGGCCAATAGATGTCAGCAGAGGGAACAAGACCCTTGGAACTAGAGTTTCAGATGATTGTGAACTGCCATGTGGTTACTGGGACTTGACTCTAAGTTTTCTGGAAGAGAAGACAGCATTTTTATCTGGTGAGCCATCTCTCTAACCCTAAATTAACATTTAATCCTAGGTTATAAGTGTTCTTTACACTAATAATTTTTGCATAAGTATTCAA